TCGTGAAACACAGTCATAAGTATGGCGCAGATTCCCAGAACTGACCAGATAATACAGAGTTAATACAAATGCAAGCGGAAGACTTGAGATACCTTGGACTGACTCGGACTGCAATCGAACACTCTCAAACATTCATCAGGGGTGTGAATGCCCTGGCCTCAGACATAGACGAAAGGCCCGAGGAGAAAGTGACGCCAACGCTTAAGTACGGTGACAAAAGCTAGCAGTTCCTTCTTCCTCGCATCATCAAGAGTGTTGATGGGTGGCACCTTTTGGCTGAAGTACTCAACCGAATGCCAGTCTGTGCCGTCATGCTGTTCCAAAACCGTGCCAATGCCATAGCCGGAAGCGTCCGTAGTCACATTGGTAGGCAAGGTCGGGTCATAGATGCTTAAGACGGGAGCTTGAAGCAAAGCTGTCTTCAACGTGTGAAACGCATTCTGGGCTTTGCCGCTGAACTCGAAGGGCACCAGGGGGGATTGAAGTCGCGACAATGGTGCAGCGATACGTTGAAATCCTTTGACGAAGCGCATGTAGTATGATGCAAAGCCGAGAAAGGAGCGGACGTCGGTAGTACACTTGAGGTCCGACCAATCTTGAATGGCTTTTACCTTGTCTGCGAGCGGAGGAATGCCTTGCGGCGTAACGTAATGGCCCAAGTACTCCAGCTCTTGCTGGGCAAACTCGCACTTGTCGCGGTTTGCCTTGTACTTGGCGATACGGAGCCGCTCCAAAACGGTGCGAAGGTGCTCGTCCAGTGTCCGGCTATAAACCAAGATGTCATCAAGGTAAATGAGTACGGTGTGGTCGAGCAAGTCGCAAAATTCTGTCGTCATAGCCGCTTGGAAAGTAGCCGGGGCATTGGTGAGACCGAAAGGCATGACGATCCACTCAAAGTGCCCATACCGCGTCTTGAATGCGGTTTTGTACGGATCTGTTGGCTGGATCTCGATCTGGTGGTATCCGGACTTGAGGTCAAGCTTTGAGAAGTACTTGGCGCCGCCTAGTCGCTCGAGAAGATCCTCTATCCGAGGGAGAGGGCCGACGTTCTTGATCGTTTGCGCGTTAAGTTTCCGATAGTCGATGCACAAACGAAGGTCCTTGTTCTTCTTCCGGACAAAGAGAACGGGAGCACCGTATGGCGAACAGCTAGGGCGAATCCAGCCCTTGGCCAAGAGGTCGTCCAGTTATGCCCGAAGCACTTGAAGTTCCTCTTCGCTCATGCGGTAGATACATCCGCGCAGAGGTACGACGCCGTCCTCGAGAGTGATCCCGTGGCGTATGGGCCGATCCGGTATGACTCCGACGGGAGCTTGGAAGACATCCTCATAGCTGTCCAACAACTCAATGATGCGTGGGTCCGACGTATCCGTCTTGGGATGATCACCACGTGGGAGGGCGTGAAGAAAACATATGCCCATCTCCTCGATGTCGTTCCGCCAGATGGATTGGCGAATGCTCGCCGCGGATACCACGTGACAACCAATCGAAGGATGAGGAAGCGGCACCGTACACGGGACTAGTTCGCCATGCTGATCACGAACGTGAACGGTGCATCGATGGAAGTTCACTGGATGGTCTTCGCTTTGCAGCTACGACATGCCTAGGAGCATATCAAACTTGGTGTCCAATATGTAGAAAGACACGGCCTCGCATGCTAGCGGGGCAAAGTACACGGGCACCGAGTCAACGCATCAGTCGATTGACTTTTGCGTGCGACCATCGACCAACGTGACGTGTGTAGGCTGTTACATGCACAGATATGTGATGTTCGTAATAACCGAGGAACTGCAGTGTGATAAAAAGGACTGAAATGGACAATGCGGTGAGAGTAGAATCTCGACAGACA